ACCAGATCAGGCAAAAATAGGAAAAAAGCCTAAAAAAGAAAAACGATGCAGCCATCGCATCTAGTTATGGGTAAGCTGCAATATAATAAAGGTTTGCTTTTGGATTTAATACTGCTTTAAGTATTCTATGCAAATTTTGCAGAGAGAAACCTTGTTTTAGGTTGTGTGTGTGGTCAAGTGAAAGTTATGCTGCTCTTATGCAGGACAGTGGGTGAGACGAAACTAAAAGGGCATACAAGTGCTGTTAAGGTCACTGTCTGCTTTCTCACTACAACTTCCAGGTTTCCTTGTGGCTTTTCCTACTGCTGGAGGCAGAGACTGACAGCCCCTCACTCCCTCTAGCCTTCAGCAGCAGGAAGCTGGAGAGATCCCTGCTTGTTACTAAGGGACCATACAAGCATTGCACATATACACAGTGAGTTTAAGTCCATTAAACACTAGGAATGTAATGTTATGTGCTTCGTCCATAGTACATTGGTATACGTTTTTCTAAACCTTTTACCATCACTCACAAAAGCATTCAAGCAGGCAAATTGCTGCTCGGTTAGAGGTAACAAAACTGATGATTTCACCCTTGCAATGACATCAGACACATTTCTGCTGTTCTAGATCTCAGCCACAAGCTTAAAGAATTTTGAAACTCCAGGGAAAGGAAATAGGTACACCTGCCCTTGTACTGCAAGGATTAAAGGCTTTTTTAGGTCGGGAGGTATGGCAATAAGCACTTTTATTTACTGGATCCACTGTTGCAGCACGATCCTTCAAGGTTGTAAGATTGGTTTTCACTGCCTCATCTTCCCTATGCTCCAGTAGTCACAGGTCCTCAAGCAGGATCAAGCTCACAACAGAGCCCATAGCTCTGCATTAGATATGAGGATGTCAAGGTAGAGTCAATTGCCGAGGCATAGGGAGAACAGAAATAGCAGCAGACTGGACTGGAGGATAGGGTAAGTAAAACTGCTTTTCCCAGTACCCTAGAAAGCCCCACTGCAAGGGAGCGTTGTTCCTCTTCATGGGGATGGGCTTTAACACTCACACAACCGCACAAAATATACAGTGTAACACATTGCATTTTGCAATCTATTTATTGGGTTCAAAATGGTTAAAATCTTAAGTTAAATCTGAAAACCATTTTATTGATTTACTTTGCATCATTGCAATGTACTAAGTGTAAAACAAAATTGGCAAATTAGAAACCTTGAAATATGTACATACATAATATAACAAAGCACGGGAATTAAAAGAAAAGGTGGAGGGGTTGGGCAGTTTACAATCTACAATAATAATTGGTAAAAAAGAGTGCTAAGAGAATGATTTCATTTAGTAACATCTACCAAATCAGATTTTACAGTGGACGGACTTAAATACGGTTATAGAAATTAGGCAAATCTCTGCTTGGCTTCAGACAGATAGGAAATGTGTAATTATAATGTAGCACGTGCTTAGATAAGCAGATGGTGAGCACACAATGAAGAGCTTCTGCAAGTACTGGTAGGCAAGAGTAGGGGCTGGCATACATAAAAGAGAACAGGTCTTTTTTTTTTTTTTTTCTCTTAAAGTGATATTCCTGTTTCCAGTTCTGTGCCATCCCTACAGCATTACCATTTTATGAGTCTTTCCTCTATTGAGTTTCTGCCTAAGCCTAGGTTCACACTACAGTAGTTGCGGAAATGCCATGTGATTCGCACAGGAACCGCACCAAATTCCTGTACAAATCTCATGCGATTTGTATGCGGTGCGATTAGAACTATACATTTTGTATGGCTCTATTCGCACCGCACCAAAAAAGTGCAGGACTATTTTTTGGTCCGCACTAGAATTGGATCTGCACATCGATCCGATTCTGCACATCGCACTGCGTTTTGAAGACAGATGTGGGGGTGCCGTTAACATACACACCTGCATTGGTCTGTGTGAACGGTATGCGATTGTGATGTGGTGCAGAATTTGCACTGAAAACGCTGCGAATTCCGCACGCGATCAGTGTGAACGAAGGCTTAATGGTGTCACTTTTGTCTCCAGTGTCTCCCTGGTGACACCCCAAACTGTGCTCCTGACGACTGGTGCCTTTTGTGGACCCATGCACAGTAGGGGCTGCTGGTGCTCTGCCCAGTTGATTTAGGTACAGTAGGGGTTGATGCATTTCAGTGCTCTTGCACACTGGCCGGCTGGCACATGTTCAGTAAGAGCACTGGCGCTGTGGGAGGTGCATGCACAGTAGTAGCTTCTGACTTTTCAGAGATAAAAAAATTTTTGTGCCCCCAATCCTTACTTTATGACTTTTTTTCATCTCAGGAGTGTGTAATGTGGGTGGCTGTAGGGACATTGGTGCTATGCCCAGCCTGGCAATGTGCAGTACTGTGCTGTGCTTTGAATTCTAAGCCTAGTAGTGCACATGCGCTGGCTGGACACAACACCAGATCTCAGAAAGACAGGAGCCACTGCTATGCAAGCACTGACAAAACAGTGTCAGGTGCCTTTTTTGCACATACGCTGGCCTGGCACAGCACCAGTGTCCCTACAGCTGTGCACAGGGCACACTCCTGAGTGAAAAAAAGTCCTAAAAGGATTGGGGGCACAAAAAATATTTTATATCATTAATGTAAAGGCCAGTTTATAATTTCCGGTTTTAATACTAAATTAATCTGTGAAAGGACAAGTGAGCTGTGTACTTAGGTACAGCACAATACCTCTTCTTGTCTCTCTCTTCCTGGTTTGTTAATCTTTGTTTACATGAGTAGGCTCAACCCTTCTCCTATGCGGGGAGGACCTAGAAAACGAAATGTGCTGCACCTAAAGCTGGCTCTAACAGAGTCCTTTCCCTGCATGTGGAATAGCGTGGATGGATGAATCCCTCTCCTAGGGTATTGCATTCTAACAGACACCAGTGACGGCTGTCAGAATACCCGAACAATTGCTTTATGGATGCATCCACTGTTTATCCATTTGAAGGAGCCTGCTGGAAAGGATTCAATCAACTTTTGTAAAACAGAGCAGGGCCAGCAAAGCCACCTTTTGAGGGCTTTTCAGCCAGTTTGTCAGGAACTGTCTGAAATTTGCTCAGTGTATGCCCAGTTTAAAGTGGAAGCAGAAAGTCTGGCTAAAAACATTTATATCCCTTTTCTAATACCTATGCTGTATACCATTTGTAATTAAGATCTGTGCATATACCTTTTTTTTTAAAAGTCAGCTTTAGTGTGGTCACAAGAAGCTACGGCTCCTCTGTAACAGTTAGGGGGGATGGGTGGAAGCACCAACAACAGAGGGGGGGGGGGGCAATAGAAGCCAGTGGCTGACATTGTGGTTCTGTGAATACTGTTCCATGATACAAGGAATCTGCAGCTTCTCGATCACGTGACTGCACCAATGTCAATTAAAAAGGGCATTTACACTGATCTATTTTACAAACAGTATCCAGACAAAAAGGAGGTAATGTTTTTAAAAAGACTATTATTAGCCTTTAGGTTGCTCAAACTACACCGCTCATTCAATCCCCTGAACTCTGGAGATTAGATTCAAACCTGCAAAGAAATAAAGTGACCATACCTTTGGTGGCTCAGGTTCTGAAATACCATTTTCCATGGAGTCAACAACCTCCTGAGCATCAAGAAGTATTGTCCAACGATCCATAAGAACATTTTCTGCTTCATCAACAGATATAAGGATTGAATATGGATCCTCTCCACTATAACCAGCTCCCCATCGCAGGACTCTACCCAGATCATTACCTACAAGAGACATGTCTGCTGTGAAACATCCAGGGCATGAAGAAGTGACTGAGATATGACTTGCACAAAAAATCCAAAAACATCCTACACCAAGCACAGGAACTGATACAAACAGCTCGTGGGCTTCTGAAGTTTTACAGATTGTTCCGCAGGAGCATGTTGTAAAAGTTAATTCTTATTTTTTTTTTTTTATGGAGTATGTTTTATAGCAGAAAGTAAAACATTATTTTTAAACTTATGGTCTTTTTTCGTTTATATCATAAACAAACAAATCCAGTGGTGATCAAATACCAAAGAAAAAAATTATATAAATTTATTTTGGGTACAGCGTTGCATGATCGCGCAATTGTCAGTTGAAGTAGCGCAGTGCCGTATAGCAAAAAATGGCCTGGTCCTGAAGGGAGTAAAATCTTTCGGAGCTTTAAGTGGGTAAACAGAATGCTTCTGCATTCTGTTTACATTGGGAGTGTGGTGACATCACAAGTAGCATCAGGCCACTCCCATTCAGTACAGAGGCTGCAATAAAGCTGTTCTATTTCAGCAATAGATCACTGCTATAGAAATCTAATGTGAGCCGTTTGCACTCTGCAAAAACACTACTGTTAGAAGCAATCTGCTGCTGCACAGTTACCTGGGGAGGTCTGGAACTTGGCTCCAATGATCAGATCTAGACCTCACATGAAAAAGTGTAAAAATAATAAGTACACATTGTCATGTATGTTTGTGTATATATCTCTCCTAAAAAGAAATAAAAATATTATCCTCAATAATAGCCCCACAATTAATATCAGATAATTTGGATGTTACATGCATTCAATGCACAAGCATCAAATGCTCATGTAAGTGAACGCAATGTCATTCAAAATTTTCAGCAATTGCAAACTATCGTGCTAACTTGTGCCTTTCTCCACATGACTTACAGCAAAAAAAAAAAAAAAAAAAAGTCCAGTTCCCCACAAGGTAATATCATAATGTGCTAGTATGCATTGCATACTAGCACATTATGAAAGACATACCGTATTTTTTGCTCCATAAGATGCACTTCCCCCCCCCCAAAAAACATGGGGGGAAATGTCTGTGCGTCTTATGGAGTAGCTAGCCTGGTATTCCAGTCTCCGCCGTGTTAGAATACCGGGCCGGCCGCTCGGCTATTCTGTGCAGCTCCTCGGTGAACCTGCCCCTCGGTGTCCTCATCACTTTTTTATCATCTTTAGTGTGGGCACCCAGTTATGACAGCTTGTGGCTTCTCAGGTGCCCACTGTGAATGGCCCCGTAGTTTTCTTTAGGACCTGTCACGTGTTCCAGAAGACTATGGGAGAGAGGCAATCGCAGCAGAAGTGGGAGCAGGTACCTGTCAAATTCGCAGGGTACCCGCCCCCCCCCCCCTTGCTCCCCAAAGGTTTGTCTCTGGTCATCTCCCGTAGTTACGTCCGCAGTCTCTGGTCATCCTCCTGTTAGTATGTCCGCAGTTCTCAGGTCATCTGCTGTAGTATGTCCGCAGTCTTCTGGTCATCTCCTGTAGTATGTCCGCAGTCTCTGGTCATCTCCTGTAGTATGTCCGCAGTCTCTGGTCATCTCCTGTAGTATGTCCGCAGTCTCTGGTCATCTCCTTGTAATTACCTCTGGTTTTTCGCAGTCTCTGGTCATCTCCTGTATTACTGTTTTCGCAGTCTCTGGTCATCTCCCGTAGTACGTTCGCAGTCTCTGTCATCTCCCGTTAGTACGTTCGCAGTCTCTGGTCATTTCCTGTAGTACGTCCGCAGTCTTGAGGGAAACATGCATGTAATGAGCCTTTTCTTCACCACAAGCTGGTGTGAAGTAGCCCCGAATGTTTTTGCTAACAATTTCCACAAACCATTTTTTTCCTGCTTCGTGTATAGAAATGTATGGTTGAAAGCGGAATAAAGCACATACGTTCACTTTGATATTTATCATTCCGCAATGTTACATAAAAGTAACACTAATTCGATATTTTAATTGTCACACTTTGTTACTATTTTTTTTGTGGCAAATATATTGGAGTGCACAAATTATGTAAACTTTGTGTTAGCATATATTACAGGGATATGCTTTTTCTTTTCTTTTCTATTTATTCCCAATAAAAAGAAAGGAAATAAAAATGTACTGTTTGTTCTCAAAAGTTCTCTGGCAGAAATCAAGAAAATTTGGCATTTATATTGAAAATATGACTGATCATGCCAAAAACTGCTCTTTTATTGAAGGATGATGATCATATGAAGCCATTATTAAATAGATTTTTTTGGCTTCTTTTTAAATCATAACGTGTGTTAGAAATCACCCAAATGGCCTTGACAGTTTACATACCCTGGAATGGTTGGCCTTGTTGGCTGGTACAGTCACACAAGGTGACACACACAGGTTAAAATGGCAATTAAAGGTTATTTTTTTCCACATCATAATGAGAGCATTTTTAAATTGCATATTAGTGGCTACACTGTATATAATATTCCATATGAATTTGTTAGCTCTTATGTTTGCACTGAGCAAGGCTAGTTACCTAAAAAGCCACAGGGAGAAGACAAGAACTGTCACAAAAAGACCCACCATAAACAAGGTAATGAAAACTTTAAACAAGATATCCAAAGCAACCTCTCCACGCCTTGTAAATTGCCAGTCAGCATTGTTTCAATCACTCACCCTCAAGAAGTGGAAAATTCGAGATTTCTTGATTCCAGCAGCTTGTTTCAAGTATGTGAACCATAATTAGGATTACATCCCACAATTGTCAGAGGATTTTAATGATTCAAGAAATAAACTTATGTTTCTTTTAGGTAAAAATTAAAAAGGTTCTATATAAACAAAATAGACTGGGAATAAAGTAAAAGCACCTGTCATACCTTAATGTTCCAAATTTAGAATAAAAAGAATTAAAGGGTGTTATATTGATTCACCACAAAAAATATACCCATCTACAAAATGGCCAGTCTAATTTTATTAAAAAAAAAACATATTTCTATAATTAATAAAATCATTGATTTCGATCACTTTCTTCCGATGCAAAAATGATAAAGTCTCTTCGCATTACGAAAAAAATCTTTTATCCGCCGAATCCGCATAATAACGTGTTATCGATAATGGGGATTAACGGGCTTTTAAAATTCATTCCAAATCTCCTTTAGATAAATTGAGTCCCCTCTAGCGAAAAAAAATTAAAAAAATGGAAAAAATTAATACAAAAAAAATCGGATTCCATAATTAATCCATTTCCTCAAAAAAAAAATTTCTGCTCGATGACTTAACACAAAATATATTTCAAAATAAATGCTTAAAATAAAAAATTCATTATCAATAGAAAAAAAAACAAGGAAACGAACATAATAAAAAAAAAAAGATACTTATATGATATGTCACTTTTCTCTTCTGACTATCTTTGCAAATAAAAAATTAAAAAATCCGTGTCCTGATTCCCTCAATTATAAAAAAAAGTCCCTGAAACACATGGCATAAATTCTCTGACTATTTGACAAAAGATAAAAAAATAAACTCCTCTTTCTATTAAATAATGTTCTGATCATTTGCAACAAATGTTTACCTTTCTTCTAAGGGCGGATAAATGATCTATATGAAGTCTAAAAACTGTTATTCTCAAAATAGTTTATTAAAAATTAAATTAGCTTCTCCTAAATCCCAAAAAACAAATGAGATAAATCTAGAAGATCCCCTACCCTCAATTCACCGCCAACAATCAATAAAAACTCGTTTGATTATGATCCAAATTTTCTTTGTGACTTTACAGACATCAAAAGGTGACATACTCACGTTACGGGTCGTAAAACTGAAAATTAAAGAGGCCCTGCTAATGTCCCTACATCTGTGGATTTTTAAACTTGCTAATTATACTATTGGTCAGTGGGACTAAGTTAGTCAATGCCACTTTGTTAGCTCTTACGTGAAGCACTAAAAACTAGAGATAACTTCCTCCTAGCTATGCGAACAGAGAAACACTTTAAAAAAAAAGTTCCCTCTACCTGTTAAACAGGTCATTTGGAAATTTTATAACCATGGAAAAGCACATAAAAAAAAGATGTCAATAAAAACTCCTTTCTAAGTAAAAAGCAGTCTATTTAAAAAAAAACTTGATCTTTTAAAAAATATAATTTAAAGATCCTTCGTAAAAAATAATATATAATTACTAAAATACTATATATTGATTTTAAAATAAATTAAAAATAAAATATATCAATTATTATATGAATATAATTAATAAATTATATAATATAAAAATTTATTTTTATATTTATTTTTAAAAATTTTATATTAATATTATATATGGTTTTTTATTTTTTTTAAAAATTTATATATTAAATTAAAATATATTTTCAAAAAAATATATAATAATAATATTACATTTATTTAATCATTTAATGATATATTTTTTATTTATATTTTTGATATTGATCATTTTATTTATTATTTTTTTAAATATTTTTTACAACCTTAATAATTTTAAACTTTTTTATATTTTTATATAATTTATTTCAGCTGAAAATTTATTAATTATAAGTAATGATTTTTTATTTGATATATAAATATATAATATAAAGCATTTTTTTTGAATCAACCTCAGGCACAATGGAAAAATCCAAAAAAACAAGGGCCAAAATTTTTTACACAAAAGAAAAGGGGAAGGGGGTCTTCAATACTCTTTTTCCCCCAAAAATAAAATTTTGGGGTGGGTTTAAACCTTGGGGCTTAAAAACTTTCAGGGGAAAAATCTCCAGCCGAAACACTCGTAAGTTAAAAAACGGCTCTTCCCTTTTTCTAAATTTTTTAAGCCCTGTTTTCCCCCCCCCCCCCCCTCCTGACCAAGCTTTTTTGCTATTCGGCACTGCCCAAGTAACTGGTAAGTGTGCAATCATCAATAACTGTATCCAAATGAAAATTACGTCCCTTTTATATTACACAAAGAGCTTTCTTCGGTGTATTTGACCATCCAGTGCCTTTTTTATTTTTTGTGCTATAAAAAAAAACAACAAAAAGCTAAAATTAGAAGAGAAAAAAAATAAAAAAAAACACGATTTTTAAAAAATATATACCGTAATGGCGTATAAGACGACCCCGCCTACTTTTCCCTGCTAAAAATTAGTAGTTTGAGATAATACTCTGCCTTATAAGACTACCCCTCTTCCAATGCAACACCAGTGGCATATAATAGTGCCCCATCATTGGTATCAGTGGCAGGACATAGTGCCCCATCATTGGTATCATGGCAGGAATAGTGCCTCATCATTGGCATTAGTGGCAGGAATAGTGCTCCATCATTAGTATCAGTGGGGGAATAGTGCCCCATCATTGGTATCAGTGGCGGGAATGGTGCCCCATCGTTTTAGTATCAGTGGGGGGAATGGTGCCCCATCGTTGGTATCAGTGGGAGGAATGGTGTCCCATCGTTGGTGTCAGTGGGGGGGTGGAATGGTGCCCCATCGTTGGTGTCAGTGGGGGGGGGGGGGGGGGAATAGTGCCCCATCGTTGGAGTCAGTGGGGGGGGGGAATAGTGCCCCATAAGTGGTGTCAGTGGGGGGGGGGGGGGAATAGTGCCCCATCGTGTCAGTGAGGGGGGGGGGGGGGAATAGTGCCCCATCGTTGGTGTCAGTGGGGGGGGGGGGAATAGTGCCCCATCGTTGGTGTCAGTGGGGGGGGGGGGGGGGAATAGTGCCCCATCGTTGGTGTCAGTGGGGGGGGGGGGGAATAGTGCCCCATCGTTGGTGTCAGTGGGGGGGGGGGAATAGTGCCCCATCGTTGGTGTCAGTGGGGGGGAGTGAATAGTGCCCCATCGTTGGTTGTCAGTGGGGGGGAGGAATAGTGCTCCCCATCGTTGGTGTCAGTGGGGGGAGGGAATAGTGCCCCATCGTTGGTGTCCAGTAGGGGGGAGGAATAGTGCCCCCATCGTTTGGTGTCAGTGGGGGGAGGAATAGTGCCCCATCGTTGGTGTCAGTGGGGGGGAGGAATAGTGCCCCATCGTTGGTGTCAGTGGGGGGGAGGAAAGTGCCCCATCGTTGGTGTCAGTGGGGGGGGAGGAATAGTGCCCCATCGTGTGGTGTCAGTGGGGGGGAGGAATAGGGGGGGGGGGGGGGGGGGGGGGTGCCCCATCGTTGGTGTCAGTGGGGGGGAGGAATAGTGCCCCATCGTTGGTGTCAGGTGGGGGGAGGAATAGTGCCCCATCGTTGGTGTCAGTGGGAGGGGGGAGTAATAGTGCCCCATCGTGGTGTCAGGGGGGGGAGGAATAGTGCCCCCATCGTTGGTGTCAGTGGGGGGGAGGAATAGTGCCCCCATCGTTGGGGTGTCAGTGGGGGGAGGAATAGTTGCCCCATCGTTTGGTTGTCAGAGTGGGGGGGAGGAATAGTGCCCCATCGTTGGTGTCAGTGGGAGGAATAGTGCCCCATCGTTGGTGTCAGTGGGAGGAATAGTGCCCCATCGTTTAGTGTCAGTGGGAGGAATAGTGCCCCATCATTGGTATCAGTGGGAGGAATAGTGCTCCATCATTGGTATCAGTGACACCAATGATGGGGCCACTATTCCTCCCACTGACACTTGCACTGACCCTGTTCTCGTTATGGTGCTGCTGCATGCCAGCATATGTGGTTTTGCAGCAGCACCTCTACACTGACCACTTACCTGCTGGTCCTGCACTCGATTTTCGCGGGGCACGC